GCAGGGCCTTCCTCATGCCTGTATCCCCACGGAACTGCAGGCTTTTACGGCAATGCCAGCGGGACTCACCGATTTTATTGCTGGCTGTGTGAACATCTGCTGCTTCAGCTTCTGCAGGTATTTCTCTGCTAGATATTTGAACACTGAGTAAGGGAGACAAAGACATGAACAATTCAGGGGCAGAGCGTTTATGGGACCGTAATGTCTTAGACGTATCAGCGTCTAGTAAATAGCCAGCGAGTAGAGTCCGAAGATAGTAGCTAGCTAGCTGGTTAGCCTCACACGCTGCTTCAGCATCCCCTAAGGAACATGTTCACTTGATGTTGAGAGATTAGCTTCTCCAAATGAGGGCATGGACACCTGCACAGACCCTCTGGAGGCCTAAAGGCAACGACATTCACCTTCGTTCACGTTGAGATCCTCCTTCACAGACGAGCGATAAAACCTTAGCTTGAGCCTCTTAGCCAGGGCCTCTGCCTCCTCGCTGCAAGGAGAACGTCAGATTACAAGACGAGAAGCCAAAACGAGCAAAGCACCCAGCCATGACCTCCAGGCCTCTGACCACCAATGAAGATGGTGACTGTGCCTCTGAGATGCATGCGAGTGATAGTTCATTTTCACTGTTGATCTTCCTACGCTGGTGACCTGGCAGTGAGGTCTATAGGTACAAACTCTGATTCCTCAGAGGCTGATCGGCCATAAAGGGCAAATGATCACACAGTCACATAATTTACTCTGTCCCAGGGCCAGCTTTGCATTATGGGAAATGAGACTGTATGGAGCATACTTTTTTATCACTGTTTCATCCAGGAGGTCGATTTTGTTCTGCACCAGGACAGTAGGAATGTCTCCGACCTCTGCTTCTACCTTCTCTTTCCAGCTACCGATAGCTTCGTAAGATTCCCGGTCCGTGGTGGAGAAGACCAGCACACAGGCTTGGGCACCTACGATCGACAGACAATCAAAATATCAGGCAAAGTGGATGCAGCTTTGTGTAGAGCCCACCCCCTCTTCACTCTGAGGCACCTAATTGGATGACTGAAGTGTCAGTACAGGAACCAGGCCATGTGTGCACTGACCTCTGTAGTAGGCCTTGGTGATGGCGTCAAACTCTTCCTGTCCCGCGGTGTCCCACAACATCAACCTGACATCCTCGTCATTCACCCTGCACACGGTGACATACAAATAGAGACATTGCAACCAGTAGGGGGCACTCATGACCTCCCTCACCTCCGTGGAGCAGCCAAACAGTAGGACGTTATAGCACAACCAAGTGAGAGGACTAATTACCTAAACTAATGTGTAACTATCGGCTGTTAGACAAACACCATTATCGCATGAAGTGGACACAAAATAGCAAAAAATAAATAAAAAGGAATGATGAACATAAGGAAGAGAATGTTCCACAATCCCAAAGGCCATCTGAGTTGTGTTAATACAAAAATATTTACAAATACAACCAGAAGGAAATCTGGAAATTTAGCTGTTTCATCGATTAAAATGTAGCAGATGACAAGAATCTGCCATAGTGAATAAACAATAAAATGCTGCTGGCAAAGCAGTGGGTCAGTCTGTCAGGGGATATGTGGCCCCACCCCACTCACTTAACATGAGGAAGCAAACTCGGACACATTGTAGGACTCAATGGTGACATCACTGCGCCACATCACTAGGATGTGGAACCAGCAACTTTCTGATCACAGACAGCAGCCAAACCCGCTGAGCCACACATTACACCGGGACCATCACGATCATCCACACATTACACCTGGACCATCACGATCATCCACACATTACACCTGGACCATCACGATCATCCACACATTACACCTGGACCATCACGATCATCCACACATTACACCTGGACCATCACGATCATCCCCTTGAATCACCGATTCTTCTTACTGAATCTGCCGCTCTAGAAAGTCCACCCCAATGGTCTTCTTGTAGTCCTTGGTGAAGATACCCTTGCAGTATCTCTGGATCATGCTGGACTTGCCGACGGCCCCGTTCCCCACCACGACCACCTTGATGGCCACCTCCATGTCCTCCTCCAGCATGGCTGCGAAGGTGGAGTGAGCTTCTCTCACACTTCTGATTGGTCTCGCTGGATTCCTCTTGGATTTGTTTCAGGGGTAACCAGAGAACTGCCTGGAATAACAACAACATGAATCATCAGAGTAAATCACTAACTGACTGCACATTTGCTCAAATTCTTAGAACTAAACTCCATCTTATCTCCACTGTAAAGTTAATCTCATAACTCCACAAATGGGTTAATATTTTCTTTCATTCGCTTTTAGCAAGTGCTAAAACCAGCCACAATGTTTATGGAAGTTAATTGAAACCACAGCAACCAGAGCATGGGGTAGATGCACAGTGTAAGAACCAGCACCCAGCGAAATACCTGCAGCTCCCGCTTCATTGGACACCCACCGGCGAGCGACAACCAATGGCTGTTCCTCTCTAGTGTGGTTTTCTCAGCCAGTCCGACGCCCAGACACATAACTTTTGCCAGGAGCTCCAGAAGACCAAGGACCATATTTGGAAACCAAATGATTATGTTAAAATAAGGGGGCAGTCGCTGTACACTCACCAGTGTGTGTTACGAAGTAAATGGGCTCTGGCCCAACAAAAGCATCCAGCATTTCTGCCCATGAATCCTCAGCAGCTGCTGCTGAATCCAGCCACCATTTCATAGCTGCATGCAGACTTTAGCCAGACTATCCAAAGGTCTTTCAGACACAAACACCAAGGGGCGCCGTTAGGGGAGTTTCCCCCTTCCCTGGGCCTTTGGGGATGGCCCCAGCCTCATCCAGGGGACTCGAGGCAGCTGCAGATGCTGAGAGGCCACAGATGCCACCCCCTCATCACAGTATGCACACGGCCATGTCGATTCCGATATAAACAAGCAGTGCAACTGTAGCCGTCAACAGAGCCTCGGCCATGATGTCGAGGAGGCATGTTCGGGCAGCTTGGGTACAACAGCCTCACTTCCTGTATGGTACGTTCACCTTCTGTGTGGGTTTTGCACACTAAACAGAACACATGACTGGGGAGGGATGCAGGGCCTGATGCAGGGAGGCATCCGAGCACCTCGACCTGAACATACCCTGCACACGTTCCTGAAGATTATTTTCCTCATGAGCCACACAGAGCCAAGCTCATCTGCAGCAGCAAAGCATGATGCAGCCTAAGGAGGCCAGGGACCCCCCGGGGTGTCAGGCAGGCAGCGGCCATTCCCGGCACGGAGCCGAAAATCCGGCTCACAGACCGTGACGTTAACGAGATAACCGAGCGAAGGCAGATGGTGCTTTCAAAGGCAGGTCTTCGGAAGAATGGCATACGGCAAAATAAAAGCCTCTACTTTGTTTGACAGGATCAACTGAACAGACGATTAACCCTTAAACAGCACGTCGGTGTTGACACAGCACTAAACCGAAGCACATCAGGAAAAGTGCTGTTTGTGCAGAGAGCCACCAGGTGAGGACAGTTTGCCAGCGGTGGGAGTGTCAAACACCGGCCCGGAGGGTCGGGTTACGGCGCCTATGAAGCGCGATACGGTTTGTTCGGCGCAGCGCTGACAGACAAGAATTACACAGAGAGACCTCATCCCAAAGACTTTTTAATGGGCTTGGCTGGGGTGTACAGGAAGCTGAAAAGCAATACTTAGAAACATCCCGTCTTTCATGTGCGAATATGTGGGGCGCAGAGGCCCAATTCTAAGATCTGTTAGCTACTGACTCTGGGAAATATGTGGAAAAAACCAACAACAGTAACAAGACCCCAGAATAAGAGAAAAATCATCATTACATCTGATATGTTTATTTCCTGTGCAAAATAGTAGTGAACCCAATCGCGCCCTCTTATTCGGATCGCTTTCACTAGAACAGCCTGAGGAGTGTGTCGGTATCATCTGAAAAGCCTGACTAAACTGTTTCAGACGAGGTAAGTGTGTGTGAGTATAAACGCAGGAGCGACTGAGATACAGCTCGAGAGATACAGCTCAATATCGTCTCCTATTGTAAATACAAACAGAAATACTGTAACTGTAAAATAAAAAAAAAACATATCAAATTGCATTTACGCTGTGACGACATTATAATAAAGCGCAGATGGCATCTGACGCCCGGTGCCCGTTGCTATACATGATACCGGGTATAACATGATTAGCAGCATGCCATTTCAGCGGGCATCGTGCACACCGGCACCGGAGCGGCACCCTCCCGCTTACCTGCCTTCTAGCTGGGCCATGTCCACCATGGGGGCGGCTAATGTAAAAAGGACAGAGAAATGCGCTTTTAAAAGCAAAAAGCGCCCGTGCGCTCACGGAAAGGCGCTGCCGGGGATAGGCGGCCCCGAAGGCACGTCCTCAGCCGCTCCCTAGGCTACCCCGACACCGGACCCGCAGACTCACACCACGCCTTTGAAAGTGCACAACGGAAAGGCGGCTTCGCAGGGGGAAAAAACACGCGTGTACGTGAAAATCGCTGCTTTTAACGCCGTCCGCCCACGCAAACTTACATTCCACGCTTATCCTCCGCAACCGCCGCCGTCCCCCATCTTCCCGGTGCGTTTCACTCCCCCGGCGCTCGGTTGCTATAAACGCTGCGAGGTTTTTCCGGTGACACCGATCCGTGCGGCAAGGTGCCCCCCAATCGCCGACTCCAGACCGGCTGCGGGCCCCCGCACACAGCGCTATGATCGCCTGGCCGGACGCACCCCGACCGCTCCGGGATCGGTGACGCCCGTTCCCGCTTTGCGCAGAAAGCTACGGCCGTAAGGAAGTGATATCACGGCTTTCCGTATCCCACCCTCTCGGCAACTTTGTGAGGAGCGTTCTCTGGTCCCTACTTATCACTAAGGGGATCCGTGAAATGCTGCTATTCTACATTAAAGCTGCAATTTGTGTCACTATGCAATTGTCAGTATTATGAGATGTAGGCTATTCATTTTAATAAGCTTAAGTTGTACACTGTTGTATAAATACAAATTTGCAACATTGCGGTCCAGTGACAGGGAGCAAAAGCTAATTATTCACAGAACATATTTTTAAATGATGCATGTTTTATACAGGCTAAGTCAAAAACATGTATATCACGGCATTTTTCTGATGGTCGCAAATGACGTTTTTTCGGGAAATAGGACGGAAAATGCCGGGTATATTTATTTTTCATTAGATTTTTGGTGGCTGGCCGGTTGCTGGGTGGAGATGACCAGTCTGAATGGAAAGCTCTTCTCAAACGGGCTATTTTTGGTCGCTTTTATAGGGCTGTTTTTTGTGGTTCTCTGCAGAGAATTTTTCAGGCCGCATTTCATACTTTTCATAGAGCACCGACACAAACGCCCATTTTCTATTACTCCTTTATATGAACGGTGTAGTAGAATACATACATTTTTAATTTAAATTCTCTCTCTCACAAACTCATCTTTTAATGTCTAACACTGTCGTAGATATATAGTAGTAATACATTAATATGCGGCTACAAAATATACCCATATTTATATGTCAAAGTCACCTTTGGTTTATAACGTTGCCTAACACGCAGGATCACAAATCGAAACTAACAGAACTCAAGTGCAGTTATTACTGAAATGCATTTGTAATTTTGAAGTGGCATAGGCTACAGCATCACTAAGGCGCAATGCTAAATTCGTAATCCTAAATTAATGTCACGTCTGCTGTCTTTTATCCTGCCCACGTCTTCACTCCGCCAACTACATGAAAAGTTCTACGTTTTCTTCTCAGCCTCTATAAATATAAGCTAATCAGATGATCGCTGCTATTTTTTAGAGAAGTCATTGGAAAACCTTGCTTTATATGTAGATCAAGCAATGTTACTCTACACAATTCCAAATGAAAAGAAGAAAGCACTTAATGTGAATATTTATGAGCACAGCACAATAGCGAGCCAAAGCAACGTTGTACTGATTGAATTAGTCAGACACAGATGAGATCATGGCCGTGCCCCGGTTACTGTTTGCTGCAATGGCAGCAATGTCTATTTACCTATTTGACTTTGGCACTATCCCATTTCCAAAAAAGTTAACGTTATTTTGCTATTCACGGCACGTTCTGTATCAGGTTTGCTTTCAGGGGATCCGAAACAGAAGAACTTATGTAGTAAAAATTGCCATTATTTGCGGGTATAAACGGGTACATTCACGTGGTATTTCTCTTTATTTTATCGTAAGGACTTTTTGTAAATTTTGAGTTTAAGTGGATTTTTTCTGTAGGATTGAAATAAAACTAAATTCCTACATACACTCCGCACCCATAGGGGGCAGCCATCGTCTTTTAGCGAGAGTTGACGTTTTGGCAAAGTCACGCCGACGAAGAATGGGCTTCCGGCGTCGCGGTACGTCATTTACCCGCGCTTTGGCGGGATTCTGAAGGCTGAGTTGCAGCGCGCCGCAGTGCAGCAAATTATCTGACAGGTGGGATTACTTTTAAAAGCTAAAATTAAAATTACGCTCTTGTTTGTAGATCCTTCCTTGTGTGCTTTCTTTATTTGACAGACATACTTGTCAGACTAGACGTTCATTTGAGTGTCAAGCTGAAGCTTGGGCGTTTGCTTCCTGTGAAGGCTTCCCGTAGGCTTTTATGCGTTTTTTATTGCTGTGATGTCAAAAAATGCATCGGTCTGCTTTCATATAAGTCTGAATTCACAGTTTCTATGAAGTTATAGCCTCTTGCAGAGTACCTGCGCCGAATGTCCTCTCCTGTCCCTCTCTGTCGCCTGTGAAGCTGGGGTACCTTTCCCAAAAGCATAGTTATTACCTTGCAACTGAACGATTCCAGCTGCGTAAGTTGCTATCGGGAGCTTTTGGGAAACGCAGCCCTAGGCGGCCCTCTTGTGTATGCCCCTACGGCTTTTCGGTCTTCCTACGTGCCCTGATCCTTCCCTCCCGGTTTGACTCGGCTTTCGGTATCCTTCCGATGCAGGAGCACCATGCAGTTCAGTAGGAAGATCCGCCTGCGGCCGGCGGAGATCGAACAGGAGGGGCTCTACGGACACTGCCTGCAGTTCTACGGACAGCCCCCTATCCAGAACATCTCTTTGGCCCAGTTCGAGCAGCTGGCGGTGGACAGGCTCAAGCGTGAGTCCCCGGCACCTTCAGTATTTTTCCTCTTTGTTTATTGCATGTGTTGCCTTTTAATAGGTTCTCCATTAGCTTTCGAGCCTGACCGGTTTTTATGTAGGACCTTAGGTTGGTAGCTAAATTACTGAGCAAGTTGTTTTTTAGTGTACATCCATTTTCCAGCTAGTTATCAAGTGCTGGCTGGCTGGCTGGGTGGCTGGGTGGCTGGGTGGGTGGGGGCTGGAGCCTGGGGTACCCCTTTGATAGGATGCCGGTTTACTCCAGGGCACAGCCACAGTACTGTTTATGGAACAGGATGTCTGTGAAAAGGTGAGTAATTTTTCTTTGCAGTGCTCAAAACAGTGGAGAGCCTGGGGGTGACTTTTGTGAAGATGTCAGAGCAGTACCAGAACAAGCTGCGTGCTGAAATGGCTGGACTTAACTTCCCAGTCCGCGCTGATGCTGTGAGTTGCCGCTTCGCTTTTCCACTGTGAACCGGGTGCTGTCGCAATCAGAGCTTCAGTGACATTGCTCTGGGTACTGTGACTTTGGTGATATACAGAAATAGCACAACCTTCTCAGCTCATAGTCTAGTCATTCTTTTCGGTTAATGCAAGTGTGAACATTTGTCAAATGGCTCCCCCTTGTGTTCACCAACAGAGTTACATAAACTTAAATGTTTTCATAAACATTTATTAATAAGGTGCTTTTAAACTAATGGAAAATCAAGACAGTTCTCTATCATGTAGTGTTGAAGTACTAGAGATGGGTATCAAGTCCAGTTTTTTGTGGTCTTTGTCTCATCAACTATTTTGACTCGGTCTCGTCTCATTCTCAGGGTTTATTTCAAGACCATCAAAATGCATCTCACAATGGCTTAATATTCATCTGCTTGAGGTGATTGGGTGTAAAATGTCTTGCTTCAAAGTTCAAATGCAACCAATAAAATTTGCCTTATTTGGAAAAAAAAATGTTACGTTTCAATGTAAATGCTTCTGTACAAATTTTAAGAAAAAATGCACATGGTTCAAATTCTACTGTGACACAACTTTTAGGCCATACTGCCTAGCAATATGGGCAGTTCTGTTACGTAGACTGAAATATTAATCTGTTTCTGACCTTGACTATGTCTAGCCCTGCCTTGATCTTTGTCTTGTCTCGGTCTCATTGCACTTTGGTCTTGGTAATGACCAAATGACTCAGTTTAGCTGGTCTTGACTACATCACTGCTATCCAGCCCACAACACCAGAGATTTTGAAGGGTAGTGTAACTTAATGCCTGTGTATACTTCATATTATTGACATATAGCCATGACAGTTTAAAGTGGTGTCTCAGTCTTCTGTAGCTTGTTTTAGTAGCAAACGCTGTGGTGTTAGGATGGCTGACCATGTTGTCTCGTTAAGTGTAATTCACTGTGCCCCCCCCGCCTTCCACAGCCCCTCCAAGGCTCAACGGAGTATGAGAAGAGGCAGAAAGACCACATCTCACACTTCATCCTGCGGCTTGCATATTGCCAAACGTGAGTGTGCACCGGTCTGGGGGAGGTAGGGGTGGTTTTACAGTCAGATTCTAATGCTCAGCCTTCCCCCCCCCCCCCCCCCGTAGTGAGGAGCTCCGGCGTTGGTTCATACAGCAGGAGATGGACCTGTTCCGGTACCGCTTCACTCAGCTGCTGTCCAAACAGAAGAGCGAGTTTCTGCATCGGAACAGCCTGCAGTATCACACTGTGAGTGGTTGGGACTTACCACTGTGGGCTGAGCTCTGTGGGTGGGTGCGTTGGAGATGACATGAGTGGGCAGGGCTTGTTGGCATGGGCGGGGCCCTGTGGGTGGGTGCGTTGGAGATGACATGAGTGGGCAGGGCTTGTTGGCATGGGCAGGGCCCTGTGGGTGGGTGCGTTGGA